GTTGGTAAAGCGCTAAATGCGTAACACGTTAAATTGAAATTTTATGAGGGTATTTTTTTAGCGCGCGAGAAGTATAAAAACCCAAAATTTAACGCAAGGGTCAAGTTTACCTGCACCTAAGCATTATCAGATCTTATTTGTTCACAGAGGCGCCATCTTGATATTATTTGGAGTCCCGTAAAGGTAACAAGGGAACCTCGTAGCTGTAGGATTACTCGTTTATCAATCCGTCCGGCCATTCATCTGTCACCGACTCATCTATTTACAATAGGAACACTTTTTTATTTTTGATGGTTTACCTTTTGGTTTATGATACAGAATGACATTATTTTCTTTAGCCTCTATTTAATTAAATGTTCAAAATAACTTTTTGAGTGTATTCAAAAACAATAACGATTGAGTTTGAATGCGAATGCCCAAAAATTTTGTGTTTAGATATTGTGTACAGAACCTTGCTCTTTGCAGTAATTCTATTTTTTTTCTATAAGTTAAAGCGAGTGTCAAATATTATCATTTCGTTACTTAAACGAAGCAAAACATTTGCTCTACTATCGTATTAAATAACATAACAGCTTTTTAGTTCGTGGCACTTTATACAATACTTCACGTACTTTAAAGGCGAGTTTCGCTTGCACATTGAAACAGATGTTAATAGCTTTTAATCCTATCTAACTAGGCGATCGAAGTCACCACCTTTTTGGGATTGTTGTAATTAATTATTAGTTTAATATTTACAATTTTCTATTAACGTCAATATGTCTGTCGAGTCTACAGCCTAAGATATGATCTTGTTATGTTATTTTAAGGACAGCCGCTTTTTATGAAGTGTCCGTTAAATATTCACAGTTTGTTTTATAACACTTTGATTACGAAGTACAAACAAAATATCTGTTCATATTGATGTTTCCTCAAATAAAATTAAAGATAAGTAATTTACAAGTTGCATATTTTTAATAGTAATATGTTTGTTTAACAGATATTATCTACAAAGTAGGTACACGATTTACCTATCTACGTACATATGTACAATACAAATACAGGTTATTAGTCGTTTACATGCATTAATTAAAGATAACATTGTAAAAGTACATATAGGTATGTATTTATGTAAATCAATAAATTATTGGTATCAAAAGTGGAGTAGATTTTTGGTATTACTGTGAATTAGTACTAAGAACTAATTATGGTAGTTGTGAAAATTTAACTAACAACCTTAAACTGGTTTAAATTTATTAAATCTTTATAATTAGGTACTGGAGATTTTTTACTCATTCCAAACTCAAACTCAAAAGCATTTATTTCAAATAAACCACAATATGGTACTTTTGAAACTTCAACAAATATACAATTAAAAAATAGTCTATCACTGTTCGTCAGTGAAGCTAGTCCCTCTTAATGGTGATATGTTGGTAATATTATTACGTATATCCTGTACAATTGATTTTAGATATCTCTATATTTTCACGAATGGAAATTTATTTTCGAAGGCAGTGACTAGGTATATTTTATGTCACCCACAAATATATATACACTAATAGGCAAGTAATGTAACATTTAATGCTTTTCAGAACACGCTGATAAAAAATTAGGTGCAATTGATAAGTTATTTTTTACATTTATATTATTACTTAAAGGCGATTAATTTTGTTCGATACAGATATAAGATTAGGCATGTTTTCTTTCTTGTATGCCGCTTTGGAAAGATATGTGGCACATTACTTATGCATTTAAAGTTATCAGTGTTTAGGGGGAAACCTCGAAAACTGATTATGACAGGATTCTTAGAAATGTGACATTTTCGTACATTGGCATTTTTACATAAAATAGGTACCTAAGTATAGTAATTTATTCAGGCACTAATACATGACAAGAAATGTTTGACGAAATATTAGTTTTACAAATATGACTGTTTTGTTTTTATATGATCTTTTTGAGTCTTTATACATATGAACACTAGTTCATTTCCAATAACCTAACACTAGGTTCAATTCTTGACTTCAAGGTTACTGAAATATGTTTTTCAAACACTTTTTTGCTTTGGCTAGTTTAAATAATAAAAATCTGACAATTTTACAGACACACTGATGAAAAGACTATGTAAGTACCTACCTATAACAATAATTTGGCTGTAAAATACAAATTAATAATACTAACAACAAGTAAATATACAATGTTATTGTGATAGGTATTAAATACTGTATAAAAATATAGGTAATAAATACTATTTTAAACACTATCCTTGGATTATAGACGTTTCGAAGCGTCCCGAATGGTCCAAATTACAATTCTGTATGTAGCAACAATTAGACACATATACTACCTGCATTTAATAGGACCACGTAGTGATATAATCATTTTTCATTAAGTTACCTTCAGATATTCAAGCACTATAACACATAGTCCATTTAATTTGAGAGATAATATTCTTTTAAAGTACTTTTTTAATTGAGCCTACTCCAGTTAAGTGGTTTAAGGCTACGATCCGACGGCTTATAGTAACCAGGTCTCAACAGGTGATGAAAATGTCAAGTGATAATAACGGAGTGTGCCTACCCATGTTATTTATTAACTAGTAATATTAATGAAGATCAATATTAATAGGAATACCAATTACCTGTCGTATATACGCATTTTAGGTTAGTTTTAGCATCATTCAGGTAAATATATATATAAAAATATATGTATATAACCATGACTATTGTAGTAAATACCAAAAAACGATTGGTCGAATAATATATTTAGTGTTAAAAGGCATATTTTACCTAATATATAGCCGTAATATCAATAAAGACAACTTACAAGTATCAATTTCCTAACCTATAAATTAAATAAATATACATTTCTCACACATCGGGCATTTCTAGTTTTAATTATCTAAACCTACCAGCTAATTAACATACCACGATTAGAATATTACTTCAAACACAAATTCACTGAATATTTTTACAAGTAGGTAATATTTATGGCCACTAAAATATAGGTACTTATGAAAGTAGGTACCTTACCTAGGCATTGAACTTGTTATGTAAACAAAAACCTGGATTTCAAATGGTTTTTAACCAATGACATTTTTATTCTTAGATTACCAACCTACCTATTCAGAGGACTATAAGCATCTGACATCAATTATTTGAATAAGGATTGAACCTAACCCTCATAGTTAAATTATGTAAAATAAATCTGATTATAATACCTGTGCAATAGCCACGAATCAGAGGCTAAATCCAATTTAGAGTGATCACAGGTAGAAAATTTATGCTTAAAAATATCCTAAAGCACCTAATAACTGCATATCTATACATATAATAAATTCTTATTATTAGCCTCCAAGTAAGTGTCCCATTTTATAATAATGATGTTGTAACAAGAGTTCTTGCTATATACTTAAATATATGTACTTAACTGAAAATCTTTGTATATACCTAACCGTTGAAAAAACACAAAATACCACATAACATATATAACATCACGCCTTTTATGCCCGAAGGGGTAGACATAGGTGCACATTAGGGCACTTAATGCCACTGCACAATGTAACACCCACTTTTCACTATTTATGTTATGATTCCCATATAATAGAGGGTGAGCCTATTGCCATATACCGGGCACATATCTAGACTCAGTGCTATGACTGAGATTTTTGAAAAACCCAGTAATACTTTACCCGACCCGGGAATTGGACCCGAGACCCTTGCCCGGCAGTCACACTTGCGACCACTCAACCAATGAGGCAGACAAAATACCAATATATACTTTATTCTATATTATTGTCTTCATTTTTCGTACTTAGGTTAACAACGTTTTAAAGATATTTAATGAAATATAACCTATCTAGCTACCTACTTAAATAAACTAAATTAAAATCTCAACCAAAACAATAACAAAGAAATGGACGATCAATGAAATAAGTACTGTCCACCAACAAGCGGGTTCTACAAAGTAAACGGCCATTATTATTCTTTTAACTAAGATTACGTAAGTGGTTAAAGTTCCATTTAGTTAAGTTGGGATTAAGTAAGTAGTCTCAAGTTTCCCTGTGCACCCGATCAATAAGAAGTTGTTTTCTATAAACACAATGTTTAAATAAACGTTTAGTGACACCCTGTTTTGTAATTAATAGTTTAATCACCAATAATTTGTTTTGTTTTCGATAATCATTGCAGTGGCAGGCGTAATAAGAACTGAGTAGGATTTATTGAGTAGGATATATTAGGAATATGCCCATAATTCTAAACTAAATGTACTTTTCGGGATAGAAATGTAAGTAAGCATGTGCTTATTTGAGCAAGTACTAACCATAGATAGGCCTAAATAATCCCAGGCATATGAAAGTACATGACTTATTTGTAACTTAACCTTTTTACATGTATAAGTGTAAATGTTACCGTGTACATCTACATAGGTTTACTAACTATTATTTATAATGGGACACAGTATACAAAAAGTACCTATAAATTTTTTCAGAATTTCAGATATTATTGGGGTATAAAACATGTACCTACATAGGTACTACTTATGTATTGATTAGGATAGGATATTACTTATTACCACGGTACTTAGATATTAGAGAAATATTAAATTCTTAAGTAATTGTAGTTTTATATATATATATATATATTAATATGTATTACTTAACTTCTAACCTATAATTATGGTTAAGTATCGTGGATAGAAGATGCAGACCAGTATTTAACTGAAGCCACTATGCCAAGTTACCAGTATTATTTCATGGCATTACTTAAATTAACCATTTAAAATTAAATGTAATATACATTTAGCCCTCGACAGGGTTGACAAATAAATTGACAATAATGTATGTTTGTTTACAACAATTTTCATCGAGCTGCCTTTACACTGAAACCAAACGTGTTAGGTAACTGTTTATTCACTTACTATTGGATGTTCTTTATCACCGATGTTTTAGTTGCAGGAAACAAAGGAATGGGAATATTTTTTATGCAAAACATTTCTTTCGAACAGTTTGTATATTGTTTACTAACCTGCGAGGCGGGCGGGTATGAATAGCCAAATTGCGCATACGCTGCCATCGGGACGATCATATGGGCGGTTTCACACTAAACACTGTCTCTCGAAGTCTTTAGCACGGACGTATTAGTTTCCTAAAAATATTTCTACTACTGCTAGTATGAAATTAAGTTAATTAAGTGTATCACAGATGATTGTGTGCGCGGCGACTGCGCGGCGCGCTGCCATTCCTGCGCGTCAGCGGGCCGGTGCGCGCGCGCTTCGCATGCCGGGCCCTCGTGTTCGTGTGCGACCGGCCTATACCTTCTTTACGCGATCGAGGCTAAACACCGACTGGCGCGCGTACGACGCTTGACGCCCCTCCGCCGTAGGAGACGGCTAATTTAGCCCCGCCTTAAAGGCGGTGCCGCACACCGACCACCAACCATGGCTTCAATTTTCTGTCCTTTTCAAAACACTAGACAGAAACGGAGCGTCTGATTGGCGTTTAACATCCCCTCCACTGAACGAAACCGCCCACCCATTCTTTGCCGCCCACGTCCGGGTGGGGCGCTGGAAAAAAGCGGCAGAGTCGGGCCGACTTGATCATGTTTATGGGTTTCCGTCGAGACAGTCCGCCAGCCCTGTACCGCGGGCAAACAAATCTCTAGTGGCAAAAAATGGCTCGGCCGAGGACAAGTTGTTTCACCTCGTCAGATTTACGAACAAGGCGACGCCAAGTTAAGAATCGACTTTATAGACTACCACCTGCGTTGATATTGGGTACAGCTTTATGTTGTCTCTGGTACTCCAATAAAATAAGATGAATAGGATAATTGTCGAGCAGATTCCAGTTTTTGGTTAAGATAACAAGATATAACTATATTATCAACAAGTTTAAATTAGTTTACTTTCAACGATACTCAAGTTAGAGCAAAGACAAAGGTTTAGATGAAATATTGATTGCGATCACATTTTGTATAGGTAGTGATGTAGCTTATGCCGAAGATGATAGGTTTTGTTATAAGTAAATACTTATATTATACAGACTAGTTCTGTAGGTATTATAATTTGATATAAGCTTACTTAACGGACCTAAGTTAGGTTATGTATTGAAACATCAATTGTTGTCCATATAGACTAATAACAACTTGATCAGAACTAAAAATGTCCAGTTGTGACAAATAATGTCTACATAGGTAAATACCCTAAACCCAATATATTTTAAAATCGTTAGTAAGTAATTGGTTAGTTCTAAAAAGAAAATTCCAGATTATTTCCTATTGGTAGTATGTAATGGTATAAAAATATTAAATATTTCGTCAGTTTTTTGTCCTGATTCATTACACAGCTATACGTGTACACCTACACAATAGCATCGATAAAACTAATAGCTAAGTAGAGAACACTAAAACACACTTATCATGCATTACAATATCTACTGTACAGTGTACATCAATACTGAAACATTTAGCTATTAGACAAGGTTTTATGTACCCGCTGAAAGTGCTGAAACACTCGGAATGTTCTGGTACTAACTGAAAAGGGGCCAGATTTCGCGGAGACGTTGAAGACGTGATTTAGGGGTCGTCACATAGGTGGCGCTATCCATTCCGCTTGCCAGAAACGTCACACTTTAATATATCGCTCGGGGAAAGGAAAGTGTTCACAGTTCTAGTGATCAACTTATTTTACGAAGTAAGTGCCTCCATCAAATAGATATTTTCTAGTTTTCATGTATGTGAGGCGAAATGTTTTATTCTTTACAAATTTTGATGTTTCTTCAGGTTACATTAAGTACTGTGTCTAAAGTAAAGTATTTTAGAAAGTTTTGTTTAACTTGTCTAATATTAGTTGGTAAACCTCTAATATTAAATAGTACAATAGCAAACGATTAGAACGTATGATTGTTAAAAAATATTCAGGTAAGTACCTAGGTAGGTGCTTGATCATGTAGGTAGTTAGATCTGCGAAGCAAATAATTATACAAATTTCCTCTTTATCAAGTCGAATCAAATACTAATAGATTTACTAGACTACATTCACCTGGAAGTTCAGAATTAGACGCTCTGCAGAAACTTGTATTCTATCAAGAAATTCTCAGTTAACGCAAATCTCTTGTAATTTTATCCAGTAGCTACCTAATAGTAAAAATGTTTTCCTAACTTAATGAAAGTACGAAGAGATTGTCCACAAATCCAGATAATGTCTATGTTTCGTTAAAAACAATACCTATAAAAGGAAAATATTGTGGGTACTTTTGTTCTTAGTAAAAGAGTACTAATTATGCTACATCAATTATTTTATTACTCATTTACAGCACACTACTTTAATTTTCATAATATTTCGGAAACAATACAGATACTACTGGAATGGTACCCGAAGTAAAACTCGCTCCCAATTGCAACATAACTGCCCATGAATGAGAAAACGAGAATACAATGTTTTTCATGGTATTCATACAATTTTACTTTGAACGCTAACTAATAAATACCTAGGTACTATAAGTACCTTTTAAGTGCATAAAAACAAGGGCAAGTGGGTACATTTATGTATAACGTTAAACAATACATTTACATCAGTAAAAAAGAATTTATTTCATAAATAAAAACTAACGTAGCGTTCATATAATTTTGCGATGCTCTGTGAACCACTTATGGCATAAAATAATAGCTACACGATAAAATATTACAGCCGCAGGAGCCGATAGGTACTATTAAATATTTAATTAGTATCAGAGGAAAACTATAAAAACTGCAATAAAATAATTTTGCTTGTTAGTTACGGATGTTTGTTTGTTCATTTCTTATTATGAATTACTCAATTTGCTATATCCTGTATTGCTAAACAAAAGAGAAGCCCATTGTCAATCATGTATTATATCTATGTGGGTTATTAATATAGATGTACTACCTCCTTATGTGTGTTTGGACTCGATACAAAATGAGTAGGTACATCATCGTGATTTTTTTTTATAGAGTAAGAGGTAAACGAGCTGATAGATCACCTGATGGTAAGCGAACAGCGCCGCCAATAAACACCCGCAACACCAGAGAAGTCACAGGTACGTTGCCGGCCTTCTAAAAAGGAATACGTTCTGTTCTTGAAGGTTTGAAGGTCTTAAGCTTGTTAAAGAGTTTAGGTCACACTGGTTCGATTTTTGAGCCTGGTAACACAGTAAAATATGCCTACCCTAACAGGTGTGTTTAAAGTCATTTCTATCGGTTAAAAATATAACCCCATTAGCAAGCCTCTGTGCCTTTTATACACGTCTTACAAATTCATGAAATTAAATCAATCCTGACTGCACTCACTCTGCTTGTTCACGAATTGGAACCGGATCACAATAGACGTGCGTACGCGCACGTCTGAGCGTGAAGAAAAATTGTTGGAATAAATTACGGCAAGTCCTGACTGCGGTTATGATTTTAATATACTGACAGGATAATATGTAGGTAAATTCAGTACCTAGTCATTTCGAAACATATTCAGAAATATTTTGTAGCATAGTAATATGTTTCCAGGGTATCAAAATTAAATGTAATTAGTCCGTCAGTTAGATAATATTAGACACGTATTTTTTTATTTCCTGGCATTAAGTTGCAATACTTAGATAAAATGGCGCTAAGTTTAAGAGTGGGAGGTCGTTACGTCATAACGTGCTACAAAATGTGACACGCTGTAACGTCACCCGATATTTCAAATTAATATATCGTCGAAAGTATTTAATTTTGTGAGAAAAGAAAGAATATGTGTCTAAAGTTTTAAATAAATGTACCAGAAAAACATAAAAATAAATTTTAGGAAACTACCCTATTAATATAATGTCATATATTAGGTGTACCTAGTACCTATCCAGAAAACATAAAAAATATATCATTCATATTTCGCAATAAATTCATTCAACAAAAACTAGTTTGTTTTAAAATATTGAGTAAATAACCTGAACTATAAATGAATAGGTATTATTCGACAACACCATATGGTTATTTATAGATAACTATGTGAAGAAAATGCTGTTTTGTGACGTTATAATGTAGTTACTTATTGGCGAACAGAGAACGGTTTTTATCAATCCTTCTATTTGTTCTGAACCAGTAAAACCGCATGCATTATGCAACAGATTTCATACAAAAGGAGCTGAATGATTCGTTTATTTTGACACAATAAGCAATTGACTACAGTAAATACCTAGTAGGTAATTTACTTTGGTCGATTCGCCGTCGGAACATCATGCGTTTGGTATAAAGATTTGCGCCATGCAGTTGTGATATGCGACATTTAATCATAATAATGATATTGTGTGCATAACCCATGAACCATATGAATGTAGAACTTTATTGCGGGCCAGTCGTTGTTTTTTTTTTATTATATTGGTTTTGGAAATTTCAGACTGCCTCGTTGGCCGAGCGGTCGCAAGTGCGACTGATGGGCAAGGGGTCTCGGGTTCGGTTCCCGGGTTGGGTAAAGTATTATTGGGTTTTTAAAAATTCTCAGTAATAGCACGGAGTCTGGAATTGTGCCCGGTATATGGCAATAGGTTCACCCCCCATTACACGGGACTCATAACATAAATAGTGAAAAGTGAGTGTTACATTATACAGTGGCATAATGTGCACCTCTGCCTATCCCTTCGCCCTTGCGACCACTCGACCAACGAGGCAGTCAATATGTATGTAGCTTGGAAGAAATATATTTAGGAAGTATTTCTAAATATAGGATACTAAATAAATGATAATCCTTAAAACAAGCTCTAACGATAAAGCAAAGCAAGAAAACAAAAGTTAGCATCAACATTGAAGAAGTGAGAAAATACGAATCAAAATGAAAGAATTAAACAAACCAAAAAAGGTGATTGTTCTCCTTTCCGTTTGCTTTTTATTTTTTTGTTTTATACTTTCTTGTCCACCTTTATAAAATCTGTCGTTTAACAGATATAATTCTCTGAGCCGACAATTTTACAAATGAATAATTAAAATTCTTAGGGTGAGGAGTGTTTTCTAGAGAGAACAGGGTTTAGTGTCCAGAATGTAACAATAGAATAATAAGAATTCAAGATGCTTTTATAATAACTATCGTGAGACATACTAGATGA